CCAAAAATTCCCAGAGCACATGGTCTAACTTCAGAGGAAAGGGAAATGACTCTCCCAAGTACAGGAAAAGCATATTCCTCTGGTTGAGATTTCTTGGGCTTCCCCAGTGGAAAGAGCTGCTGAATCTGTAACTCCCCATAAAAGGGCCTGTTCCAGGTTGGAAGAGCTGAGATGGGGTTCCCTGCAGTCCCATATATTAGAGTAGGACTTCCTCTTGTCTACCTGACAAGCTTCATGCAGACACCTTGAACCCTATCTAGGCAGAACCTGCTGAACTTGCAGCTGGCTGCAAAAAGTAGAATCCTAGTGAAAACATGGTAGATAGTGTGACACGTGAGCAGGTTTAAGTAACCTCCGCTGACACCTACCAATTCTTCACTGGGATTTTGCTATGTGCCAGGTGCACACACTACTGTCCCCCATTTCTCCTTAACTGCATTTACTCTGTTCCAATGGATTTTTTTAATCAGGCTAGTGGTGGCCCAGCTCTCTCATCATGAACCCTGCAGCAGCCATTTATTCCAAATGCAGAATTACCACCAGAAGAACTGCAACTCTCACCAAGAGCTGCTTATAACAATACATTTTAAAACAGAGCTCTCACAGGACAAGGGTTAAGGACACTCCCCTCACACAGCCCAGCCATTTTTCACAAAGCCAAAAAGAACCCCTCGCTGTCTGGAGCACAGCATTTGCTTTCACAAGCAGATCTCACACAAATCTGACACCGTCTGTCTCCTCTAGTAACACATCTACACTGTAGCTCATGTAGATGGGTACAAGCCAACTCCAAACCAGTAAGCTCAAGCTCTGCCAACAGCATAGCCACAACAGTACACAACTCAGTGGACTACAAATCGCACCTGAACAGTTAAGTAAATGCTCAAGCATCTGACACTGCTAGCAGTACCAGAGCTAAGTGGCTGAAAGCTGGCTCAAGTACACCTAGACAAGTAGCAGATATTTAAGTTTCCTTATTGTATTCTAAATCCATAAGCCATCTTCACTAGCTATACATGAGTTTCAAATGCTCCTTCCCCTTGCAGCCACATAAATTTTGGAGTCTGATTCCCTGGAAGCCTGATCTATCCAGCAATCAAATACATTGGCTGGTAAGAGTCCTCAAGAAAAAGGCAACAAGCTAACAATTTAATAGGACCAAATTTTTAAAAGGTTTCACTGCCTGTTTTGTGGAACTGGAGTTCTTGTCTCCAATACAGGGAGTTGGTCACAGTTTTGGGGGACAGGAATACTTAGAAGATACAAACAAGATAAAGTAACAAGCACACAAAACTCTACTTAGCTGGCTTCAGAATGGCTTGAAATTCAGGTAGAGCCCTCTATACTTTCCGCAGCCCATTCCTCGCATCCTGGATAGAACCCAGCTCTCCTTCAGAAGGGTCTGGAGGAGCCTCTGCACCAACTGCAATCCAACATTCTCAGAAGGCCAGCTGGCCTGTGACAACTGGGCCAGTAACTGCACATCCCCAAGCAGGGTGCTGGACACGTGGCATGCTCTGGGTGGTGTTCTGCAGCCAGGAAGAAAGGCAGCATTCTTCTTAACCCCTACTTCTCCTAGAGGAGCAGGAGCCATCTCCAGAGTCACAAACACAGAATACCTGGGGTGTCTCCATGGCCAGACAGCTGAAAATAGTTCCTCCTTCTTAGAATAATCTAAGCCTCCAGAATATAACACAGGCTCACGAGGGTACCACAAAGACAACAAAATACCTTTTTTGAAAAGGGAAAAGATCTGCTCCAAGAGTTACTTTGGTTAGTAATTCTTTATCACCATGTGCCTAAAGGGGACACTTGGTTTTTCCTCCCAACCTGGCTTGCTTGCATTACGTATCCCAGCCCTCAACAAAGCTTTTATTTTCAGCCGAAATCTGAATCACTGAAGGCATCTGCTTGTTTCAACATTCTGCTTAAACAAAAGAACAGCAGAATCTGGTGAAGAATGCCAAACCTTCAGCCCTTCCCTCCCAGCTGGCAATACTGAAGCCACTGCAAGTGAAGGAAAAGTATCAGACAGTTTCCAAACTGACACCCGTGCCCAGTGTGCTGAACTTTGCTTGGGTGCAGCCATGCAGTGGTTACTTTGTGTACAAACCTAATGCTCCCCTGAATTTCAGGTAAGCTGAGAACATACCCACCTTCAGGAACTTCATCTTGAACCGTGGCTGGCCAAAATACACACCGCACAGCAACTGCCAGACTTGCTTAGTGATGTGCCTGCATCTCAGGTTACAGACTACTAGTGCTAGGATAGCTCGCTTTTCGCCAAGAAAAGTATCTAGTTACTACCAACATGCACTAACAGCTAGTTAACTTATCATAACAGATTGAAGCCTAGGTATAAAAATGGCCCCTGCATCTGAAGGCTCACATCATGGCGCACCATCATATTTCTGATGCTCTGGGTAATTCAGGGAGCCTTTGGGTTCTGAAGCCTCCAACTTCATCCAGAAGTCTCTGCAGATTTCTTTGCTAGGACATGTCCCAGCAAAGAATTCAGATACTGGAGCAAGCTTTGGGGATCCGGCCCAAAATCCCATCTCCCACAGCAGCCAAAACGACGCCTCAGGAGACACTGCAGCAAACCCCGCAACGGATCACAACAAGCGGCAGGCCCACAGAGCAAAAAACCAACCCCACTTTAACCAAGGACAGAGACTCCTGATAGGGCCCCCCCTGCCATGGTACCCAGTGGCTGAATGCTCCCAGGCAGGCAGAGGTGCTAGGACCCCAACGGCAGCAGGGAGAGCTGGGCCTGCTGCCGGCCCAGCCCCCAGCACCATTACAGAGATGCTGCAACTTGGCCCCTACTCCCTGCCCACGCCGCGTGCCCGGAGAAGTCAACCCTTGCGGCCCCGACGTGGTGCGGGCAGGGGACGGGCGCTCCCCCGCCGGGGCCTCGCCCTGCGGCGGCGCTCCCCGCCGGCGGGAGAGCCTGCGGCCGCCCC